GGGTCTTTTTATTGAAAATCAATAGCAATACAAAAAAAAAACTGATTGTACAGACTTTGTTCCGACAGAGAGGGCTACTGGAAGAGAACTATTAGGTTTAGAAACAAAAAGAAGTAAATCATCTGCATAAAGAGAAATCCTATGATCTATGCCTCCTCTAGTAATTCCACTGATCCCTCCATTGTTACTTTGTGTTTAGTTCTTTTCAGAGCAGAGTGCCACTTGGTGGAGAGACTGAGCACCTGTGGTGAGTTCCCTTCACTTTCTTTTTGCATGTGAGTAACTGCACAGGGACACAACATAGACTGCACCATTTTGCTGTGAGGATTGCTGTGAGATTGGTTGTGTTGCACCCAGGTGAGCATAGGTGGCACCCCTGGACAGTCCTCAGTCTGCCTCTCCACAAGTGGCTTCTGCTGTGTTATTTGTTTTTAGTAGTTATTTATTTTGGGCTGGATTTTAAATTGACGTTCTATTGACTGTGTTTTTTAATTCCTATTGAGATATTTTATCTTATAATTTTTTTTCGCCCATTTCACTGTTTCTTTTCAATTTGTTTAACTTTTCTGTCTTTTCAGCAGTTCCAGTCCACCGAGTTAATTCTGTTTTTGGTATTGTCAATAAAAACTTTTTACTTTGGAAACATGTCTCTGCCTTCCAGTACTGAATCTGTGTGCCTTTCCACTTTTCAAACATAAGACAGTATGACTAGTACTTCCTAGGGTGCAATCCCCCAGGTGACGTTGTTCGGCATTCCTTCAAATTCTCCATATAGTGCACCTCGCCACACTAAGCTAAAAACCTTTAATCTTCACCTCTAACACACAACAGCCTATACATACTGGAGATAAGACCTCAATCAAAAAGACTCTAAAATTTGAGATAAAACAAATATTCAAGGTTAGAATGACACTGTAAAAGCAGAGCTTTGAACAGTGCGTAACATGGTTACTCATGTTGATTTTTGCTTAAAAAAATTAAAAAATACAAATCAGCCTTCAATGAACACCATTTCCCACAAGGCTTAGACACGTAGGAGTGACACAACTTCACAAACAAGGCAAGCAAAGTTTGAAAAAGGCTGAAAAATTGCTTACTGCTTTACGAAAATAAAATGTTGGGACCAAGACCATAAGTATAATTGTTCTGTTCAGCAGGCAAATTTTTTGTGGAAACTGGAGCTTTTTTATGCTGACAAATAAATCCTTGAATTTTGTTAAAATTAGTTGCTAAACATTTATTCATTTCAGTGTATCACAGTTGCATAATTAGAAGTCCTTCCCTGAAAATAATTCCTTCCTGCCTTTGAATGGCTTGGATATAATTCATCTCTAAAATGTGCAAATATATGAAGTCCCCACCTCCCTCTGCACTCACCTTCCCTTCTAACTACATCTTGAGCACACAAGCTCACCTACAACTCTACTCAAACAGCATAAGAAATACTCTTTTTCTAAATTATTCTGAAAAATAATGATCGTCTCAGTGGTTCCTTAGGTTTGTTACATATGAAAGTCTGAATGTGTTTTTAAGACTGTCATCGGTACCCTGCAGTTTCAGGGGGAAATGTTCAGCCATGATGTGGAATGCTTTTTTTTTTTTTTTTTTTTTTTTAAAAAGCAACAAAACAAGATAAAGAGACCAAATTTTTACCAGGTCTTCAAAACCCAAAGGTTTCAAGTTCTCACGGCTCAGTCTTGAAATATGGACAGCTTACTTCAGTAACATTTCACGTTTCATTTTTTGAGAAACGCTGATGACAGAAATGTTACTTCACTAAGTTGCAGAAGCTGGTGGAACAGAGGCTCACCCTGATATGACGTCATAACTTCAGCTCTTTATTTTCCCAAAATTTCCAACTATTCTTTAAAACATTAAGAGGAAGCATCTTCCAAAGCCACAGGTTTTGAAATGGGTTTGTGGTGTACGTTTCTGGGAACTCAACTCGTGGCACGTCTTCACTCTGGAGAAGGGGGCTCGCTTATTGGTTTCTCTTATAAGAAGCATCTAATTCTCAACTGTAAGGGCCCCATTCAACGCAGCTGTGTACTATTAGGGCTGCTATTCTCATTGGCATGGTGGGATTGTTAGATTGCTGCTGAGAACGAAGCTTTAAACCAAACCGACCCCACGAATCAGCCCCCAACCTCCCGTCCCCCTCAATTATTGTAATATAGAGAGGGGGGTTTATTTTTTCCTCCTTACTCATGCAGGAAAAGTTTCCATTTGGATTTTAGCATGGCTCTGACTTCAGCACTGATTTTCTTCGGATAGACAGACCGGCAGACAGATAGTGAGGCAGAGAGAGAGCACGAGTGGAAAGATTGTAAAAACAACTGACAGATGAGGGTTTTAGGGCTTGAGGGGGAATAGAGCACAAATCTCCTTTTCTGTTTATACTCCAATAGCATAAGTTCACATATTAGTCATACATATCTTCTCATCTGGGAAATAATAAGTCATCCAGTTGGATTTAGAACCCATCATTATTATTATTGCTTAAGTGTCCACAATGTGGCTCCAACGTTTGTGCTGTTGATGCTTGCCGTTTTTCTCTCACTTTCCTAGTATTTCACACAAATGAAATACAATGTTTGACAAAAATACATTTGTTTTCTTGGCACTGACAGCTCTTGTGTGCTTGCGCATGATGCACACGGTGACAAATATCCTGTATTTGCTCTGGTGCACACTTGGCATTCATCCATGCAACCAAATAGGATCAACTATATCCTGTTTTTCACTTTTACCCTTATTGAATGGGCTCATTATCCCCTCAATTTCCAAACTTACATCCCATATTTGTCATCCAAAACTAAAGGGCCTTAATTTATCCTGCCTTCAGATATTTTGTTTTTAGTTCTCTGCCTATGATTTTGCTGGAAACACTGCACCTCAAATAATCTGAAACCACTGGCAGCACTCAGACTGTGTGTTATTGTTCAGAAAATACAACCAAAAACTCTAATTATGCGTTCACATGATATTTATCTCTTCCAGTTTGTGTAATCAACATGATTTATGTGAAATGAACGTTTTATTTCCTGTTATAGACCTTTCCAAACACATCAAGACTCATATTTTATTTCTCACTAATGATGTTCTGCCTTTCTTTGGGTCTTTCATTGTGGTTTTCTTTTTCCTTCGGAATTCCATATAATTTCACTTGTAAATAATCTGCTAAAGAGGTGCCTGCTACTGCCAGTATTAATGGTGACCTTTGAAGAATTTAAATAATATACAGCTCTCAGATTTCCTCAGTTGGATAAGGGTTAGAGCTGTTAGAACTTTTGAGATGCTCCTATAAAGCATTATGTGTTTCCATTTATGATGCACCAACAGGAGTGTTCAGCAGTTATTTCATTCTCTGTCCTAAAAATGTTTTGTTTAAACATCACTTTAACACTTGTTTTCCTATAATGTTACTGTCTAATTGTTTGAGGGTTCAGATGTTCTTATTGCTCATTTTTGAAAATATGTAAAATAAACAGTGGCTGCTGCTGGTAAAGTTGTAAAAGAAAAAAAAAAGCTGGTAGAGTATTAGCGATGGAGACTCTTCAAAAAATTTTCATCACTTGAAGCAGATCTGTGAGACTCTGCAGAGCTCCACTGAAACTTCTGTCAAGATAATTACATTGCCATCTATTGGAGCGCTGCTGTAAAAACAAGTGAGCCCCAAAATGCTCAGCCTCCTGGCATGGAATTAAACATTTCATTAAAAATGAAGCACGGTATGTGAAGGCAAAAAGAGAATTTCTTGCATGGTACTTAGATAAAAACACAGCTTCTGCATAAATGACCATATATAAAGTGATTTAGATTGAGACATGTGGTGGGCGTTCAGCCTGGAGCTAAAGAAGGACAAGTCTGACTGCAGGTTTGGCTGCCTTTTATTAAGCAGTTCCCCATGCACTTTTTTTCTTGTATCATCATGTATCTCAACACATCCAAGCCACTGTGGTGTCAGTCAGAAATACTCCCAATGAAACTGGCGGGTTCACACCTGCAACTGTACAACATTAGTGTGTGTGACTGTAGACTTGATTTGCAATATTTTTCCAAATTACAGATATGTGCTACATGTTTTCAGGATGTGATTTTGCATCTGTTACTGGGAAATATTGTCAAATATCCAACCAATGAATTACAAAGAAGTCTGTTTGTGTGAGGTTCGACTGATTTATAATTTATGGACAACAATAATCTATATAGTTAAATGTACAAATATAAGTTTCTCGTAGTATAATCAACATCTCAATCGTTCGGTTTCTTTCTACACCTGCTTAAAAACCTTTTGAAGAACAACACAAGTACCCCAAACCCGAGTGTATCTAAAATACATTTTAATCTTGCTGAAATTTGTTTTCACAATATTGTTTACAATATTAATCTGTCTTCATTCTCTTCATCCTCGCTCGGGTCTTCTTTATCGTCTCGAAACAGAACTGTACAATCATGTTCATGTAAATTGTTCTACATCAAGGCACAAGACAACAGCCGTTGTGGGGGGGCCTTGGGTAGGCTGATCTTTAATGGCGTCCCTCTGGCACACAGGAAAACAGGGTACCCTCGGGAGGAAAGGGAATTATGGAAAATGTAGAAGTATGAATCTCAAATGGGGAGCTGGGAGAGGGGGGTGAGGCTTGGGAGAAATGTGCTCTAACGACAGGTGAAAGGTGGACAAAAAAAATAAGGTGATAACCACTGCTGCTTTCATTTTATTTTCCAATGATAGTCATGTATAAAAAAGAGGAACCATGAGGATGTTTTTTTTTCTTCTTTTCTTCAGGAGTTCATTTGTTCATGTACATAAAGTAAAGTGCTTTTTTTCTTCTTTTTTTCTCTTATTTGCCAAAAGCAAAAGGTTTCACTAACAGGATGGAAATGGGGACGAGACGTCCTGTGGTGTCTTTTTTTTTTTTTTTTTTCCGTAAGAATGTGAAGGAGTGGATAAAGGGCCAGTTCAGTGTTTATTTTCTGCTCAATTTTGTTTGTGTTGATTTTTGTTCTCAGGTTTTTTTCTGATGTTTTCTCGTCAGGTTTCAACCTCTGAAAGACAGGAAGAAAGAAGGAAACAGAATGTAAATTTAAGACAATATTGACTGCTGGTCATCATTATTCCATTTACAAAACATTACATAAAGAACACTAAATAAAATCAATTTGTAGTATAAAAGCATCTGAAGGCTAATTTTTAGAATCTTCAAATCTTTTTAAATTAGCAGATGAAAGTGTTTTTTCCTATAAAACAAAAAAAAATCTGCACATAGAAAGAAAAGATATGTAATTATTTACCGTTTCCCTGAAGGTTTTGGAGCGCTCACATCTGGATGCTTCTCCTCCGCCTGCCGAAGGCCTTGGCGCCGACGTTGGTGGGGACAAAGTTGCTGTTGCCCATTCCCCCCGACCGGCTGAGGAAGTCCGCCAGGCGGTGAGTCACGCAGGTTGCCGTGTTGCAGGCTCGCTTCTGTGCTGTAACGCTGCTTCAGGAGAGCAAACGGGGGTTAACGCCAAGATCTGGTGGCACATTTATCCAAACAATACTGAAACACAGACCTACACACACGCAGTATCTCTGCACACAGTTCATTTTATTAACGTCACAGCACAGAAAATACATAATGCTAGAATGTACAGATTAAAAATCTACATCAGGCATGCAGGGTTGAATCATATATTTTCTGCATTTTGAGTTTTTCTTACCTTTGGACTTGATGAGAGCTTCAGATATAGTTTTAAGGGTTCTAACACTACTTATGTCCACACTGAGTGTTCACATTTACCCACTGACTGTTTTTGTGTCCTTAAAAATGAAAATGAGCTAAGACTTCGTGGTAGAAAAATACATTTATTGAACAACAAACATGGTGTCGCATGAGTGGATCATTTATTACTGGTTAGATTAAGTGATCTCTCTCAACTCTTCAATTTCAAGGGCTTTGAAATGCCATCAAATGACTCCACGTACAGTACACAGATGTATGAACCGGCTCCTGAATTACATTTGTGAAAATTAAGTCTGATTGTCTGAGATAATAGGAACAAATCATTCTCTGCCAAAAAAAAACAAAAAAAAAAAGGTAGGAGAGGGTAAAGGAGAAAAACAACGGAAAAGTTGGTTGTGGTTCAAATTCTTCTCATGTCAATCAAGCAGGTAAAATCAGCATGCACTTGCCAATCGATAAGGAAGAAACTGGGATGAGGAGAGGAGGATGACAAGAGAGAAGAAAGGAAAGGAGATGGGGGAAAGGTAAAAGAGGGGCTGAGGGTGGATTGTGAGGAGGGGTTAGATGCTGTCAAACGTCTCGCCGTAGCTTGCATAGCTGTCGCTCTCAGGCGCACTGCGCTTCTTGCCGGGCGTTCCTGCTCCCACGTTCGTGCGAGGGAATGTCTGCAACTTGTGCAGCTCCTGAGACAGTTTGCCCAACACACAGGTGCTGAGGTTGGAGCAGCGCTTGGTTAGGGGCCTGTCCATGCTGTCAGGGAGGGGACACACAAAACACATGCAGAGAACAGGCTCATAGATACGGGAGAACATGCAAGTAACACTTGCTTCATCGCTTTCTCTTTTTCCTCCACTCACGCATCATTTTGACTCACATGCATTTCTTTCTCATGCCACTGCAGGTATAAAAAGAGGCAAAAATAATAACATCCCAATCCCCTTACGGCATCATGCTCCCCCCACCTCCCACTCCAACTCCCAACATTCAAACAACTTGTCATCAATCCCTCATGCGCTGAAACCTCCACCCCCACCCCCACCCCAGTCAGTCTTTTACACCCACAGAACAAACAGAAACCAGTCGCCTCTCACTGTCATGCAGCTCCACTTAATTGACATCATGCACACTTATTTGTTCTGTTAAGCATACACTGTTCACATGCCCGGCAGGCAGGCTCAAAATAGTAAACCGTTCAAAATCAAACTCATCCATGCGGGAGCAGGGTCATGACAGAGAATAAGGATTGTTGTTTTTTTGTTGTTGTTTTTTATTTTTTTTAAACTTGTTATCTTGGAAATAATATGTGCTCCTCTCCTTTGTTCTGCGGAGAAGTACATACCTCAAGGCCTGATTGAACCCAAGATGGGGAGCTAAAAAGATACATCTTCAGTGAAACCAGAATATGATGCAGCTCCTAAAAAAAATACACAAGGTCCGGACAGTAGCCTGGAAAAAACCTGTCGCCTTTTCTCTTTTTACTCAGGCCCAAGAAGTTTAGTGTAACTACTTCCTTTCCACTCTCATTAGTCAAATCCTTCATTGGCTGTTTCTCTGCAGGAAGGAAATGTAAAACAAAACAAAACAAAAAAAAAGCTCAGACTAAAGAAGAGTCATCTGTACCTGTTTCCCTCAGTTGCCTGCTGCTCCAGCTCCTCCGCCGTCATCTGCACAAACTCCTTGACAATGGCGTTGAGTAACCTTCGCGCCTCGTAGTCAGTGAGCGTGACTCGGTCTGACATGGACTCTAAACCCGGTCTGCATTTACAGGGGGAGGGGAAGGTTTAGGGGTCAGAGGGGTTTGGGGGGGGAGGAAAGGCATTGAGATCAGCATTAATGTAAATCCTTCACTAGAGTTATCACCTGCAGTTAAAGGGAGGGGTGGCGGGATGCGTTGGGGTGGGGTGGAGTGGCAGGATGGATGCGGGGGGGAGTTTGGCTGAGACGTCACCACCTCTAAGAGGAATGACGTCTGAGTTTGAGGGCCCCCAGCCAACACAGGGGGGAAACAATCTGCGGAAAGTGCCCCATCTGAGAGAGGGGCTGATGTGCAACCAGCTTTAGATTTATTACTAAATCGATAGCTTCATAGGATCAGTGCGGGGAGCGGCTGGAATAGGGCTTCATATAAATATATCGGTCTCATTTATCTCCCCCCAGAAGTGAGTTACACTTCTTTTTTTTTACTTTGTTTGTGTTATTCTCATTTCACAAAAGCACGACTTCATCCAGTTATATTGGAACTATAATAAGATATACAAACTTTTAAAGCTCATTTTAAATCTAAAAGCTTTCAGTCGAGCATATAATTAGTTTTGCACGTATAAATTGTCAAAATGTAGCATATAAATCGTGATTATCTGAACAATGATATTTTTCTTGTTTGCATTCCCACATTAATTCATACTATTTCTTTTTATACTGGCGTTACTGTTGGCTTTTGTATCGCTGAATGTGCTCTTAAGTCTTTCCATCAACATGTTCCTCACAAAAGCTTGAATCCCCTCTACTTTTCCCATTTAGCAGCACTACAGTTTTTTAAAAAGGCAATATAAGAAAAGAAAAAAAAATCGACAAGGTCTTCATCTTTAAAAGCAGAGTTTCTGCATCAATCCTACGACTCTTCTTCTTTTTTTTTTTTTCACTAGTAGCTTTTAATACTAGCAACACTTCAGGGAACATACATCTTTTGTACTTTTCCACACAGTTTAAGTTGCCTGGAAATGTCAGATGAGAGCTCGAAGTGTAAAATGTGAAATGCGAGTGTCTCACCTGGCAGGGGCGGCTTGTGAGCAGTACATCTGGCAAATGACCAGGGCGTAGGCAACGAGGAAAGCAGAGATCTTCAACATAACCATGGTCCCCTACACAGCGAGAAAGACATCTCACATCAGCTGACAAGGCTGCTGCCACGCGCACCACTGAAATAAGTTAGCAAGTCACCTAAAAATGGATCTGAAAAGCCACACATATACATCTGAGAAATCTACTGCTGGTGTCTGATCCTCTTGTGCTTGGGGGGGAGTGGGGGGGGAGTTGCAACAAGAACGGTGTCATTTCCCAGAGAGGCAAGCTTACTTCTACCCACATCCCAGTTTACTCTGGTCTCCTGCTGAATATCCTTGCACACAACGCCCCTTCAGAACTGAGCCACATCTTAGTCCCCCCTACTCTTCTTCTGCAAAGCGTATTGTTCGTCTAAAGTATCCAGCCGAGAGCAAAGGACAGGTAGTTCTCTCATGTCGTGTGCTGCAGGTCATGTAGTGTGACATGTCTGTGGGTTGGAGTGTGTGTGTGTATGTGTGTGTTAGTGTTAGTGTGTGTGTGTGTGTGTGTGTGTGTGTGGTGTGTGAGGGTAGGCAGGGGTCCTAGACTGTGCAATGTATGTGGCACTTGCTAGTGCTGGAAGAGGAGGGGTGAAGAGAGAAAGGGAGGGGGGGGGATCCAAGCTTGCCAACTCCCTAAGGGACCAGTGCATTAGTGTAATGAGCTGCCAGCACTCTCTCTCTCACTCACACACACCGTCTCTGACACACACTCAAACCTGGTTTCTCCTGCCCATTCTCCTCTGTCACTTTCTCTTCATTGCTTCAGCTTCTCCTTCATTTTCCAGTGCCTTTCGTCCTCCCTTCCTGACTTATTTCTCTTTCTGTCCCAGTCTTTGGCCTTCCAGTAACAGACTGGACCTTTGCAGAATGGGTGCTGGTGATACTGGTGACCCCAGTGGCCACACTGCATTCCCATTATTAACACTATCACGTCATCTTACAGGGAGATGCTATGTGCACATCCCCTCTGATCCACGCACATGCAACCATCTTATCAGTCACATTTACAGTCAAACTGCCATTCCAACACATCGCTCAACACAACATTTAAAGTCAGCACTTACCTTCAGTGATAATCACCCAGCAAAAAAAAAATAAAAATATATCTCTATGAATCTCTATGCAAAACACAATAAGTTGACTTTCTCTCAACTTGCAGAACAACTCTTGATTCTGTTGCATGCAGCGCCAACGCACCAGCCTATATATCCCACCACTTGGATTTGTGCATTGACTGTGTAGGTGTTTAATTATCTGCTGGCAGCCAATCACGTCGCTCTGATGCTACGGCGAGCCAATGGGACGCCTCCCCTCAGTCCTGGCTCACTAATAAGGGATATGGCTTTGCGCTGACGTCATTCCTCAGTCACTAAGTGCTCCATTCACAAAATCCACCAGTCATTTGGACCATTTGCTATCCCCAATTTGCATTGATGTCATTAATTAAATAGGAGGCAAAGCAAACTGGTGTCCGTGGAGAAGCATCACCAGCAATAAATATTTTAGAAACCTTCCAAAAATGTTGCATTTCATGCTATACCTCAAATGCCAAATCAATAAGGGCACCCCCCAACGCCGCCACCACCCTTCCGAGTAAGCACTTGCAGGCGGGGCCATCTGCTGGGGAGGGATGTATACTACACAGTGACGCACTCCTGGGCTCTTCATTCATAATGCTGCTTGGATAGCACCAACTCCAGCACTACACCCACTGAGCCTCAGCTCAGTTGAGACTATCTACACTCAGCTTATGTAATCAGCTTGTTATTGATTTGATTTGGGGCAACATGATCTGCTTCACCAGAAACTATGAACCCAAGGCACTTTACATATCAACATTTCTATTAAATTACTTTCAATCTTCAAAGCATTGGGCATTTTTATGTTTTCCAATTGGTGTATTTTATTATCAGAATGACTAACCTAAAACCACTGCTGTATGAAGTCTTTTTGCAGTAAGCGAAGCATGACAACCTCCCTCCTTACTACAGTGAAACATCAAACTGTACTGAGTTAATAAAGTGATACCATAGTCGTCCAGTAATGATGACTGCTGCCCGGGCCTCCTCCCACACACTGAGCAAACGAGTTGTCCTCAGCTAAGACCAATCGATGACAGCCTCCGACAAGAGCCGTTTCTCAAAAGCAATTACACAACTGTTTGTCGTGCACCATCGTCTCAATTCCCTGCCTTTTCATTAGTGTGCAGGGCAGCATGTGTGTGTGTGTGTGTGTGTGTGTGTGTGTGTGTGTGTGTACTGTACACTGTGTGTGTGCGCATGCCTAAACCTTTGTGATCAGAGCAGGTGTGTGTGTGTGTGTTTGTGTGTGTGTGTGTGTGTGTGTGTGTGTTTGAAATGTGCGTATATCTGTCTGTATGCACTTAAAGTCTCTGCACAGTGGACAAAATTGATGGCCATCCAATAGATGTGTACGTGTAAGATTATATGTCAAAGTAAAAGAAGGGGAGGGGTTGCCTCTCCATGTCTGCGTCATAGAGGAACCCCATTAGACAGGATGAGCCTTTTAGTGCTATTGAGCCACAAGGCTCAACTATGTCAGACTCTAAATCACTGCTGAATGGACAGCTGCCGGGTCTCAAGTCACATCGATGCACCTGCATTGCTACCTGCAAATCTGCAGTCCTGCATACCTTGTACTGTGCTGGACAGATGGCAGCCTACTGAAAGACAACATACACTTTTTCTTATTGGTTTCAGTCATTTGACCCAAACATTCAGAACTTTGAACACTGTTTTGAAATCTAGTGGGTCATGAAAGAGTTTAAAGATCTCCTTTGGTGAAAATCAAACATTCTACCTCATTATAAGATAAGATTTGCCTTTATTTATCTCGCAGTAGAGAAATTCACAGTGTTGTCAGCAGCTTTACACATAGAGATACACACATACTATGCAGAAAAATGTACATATAAATATAAGTATAAGAAATAGTGCAACAAGTATAAAAGTACACTTAAAAGGAGAATAGTGTAAATGGAATATGAGAATGTCCATATGGTAGTCCTAGAAGCTATATTAAAACCAACTGGACTCTTTCAGGTTCTTGAAGACGAGTCACCTCTTCAAGACTCTACTTTAGTTCTTACAAATGGTCTTTTTTATATGCTGGAAGACACATAATGAGTAAAATAAGCTGTCAACATGATGCCTGAGCATTTCCACTTTCAGCCTGCAGTGTCCCAACAACAGTCTCAAGAACACGGATTTGGATTTCTGAGGTTTCCCAAGTAACAAATCAAAGGAACCAATCCTTTTAGCTTGCAGGATGGGACTTTCTCCATTATCCTTCTTCATAACGGTTTTCCTGCTCAAACATGTGTGACTGAAATACTCTACGAGGAAGCAATGGTGCAGAGTTATATCCAAGCCAACTTAAAGGTAGGAATTACTGATGTTAAAAACAAAAAAAAAAAAACTTCTAAACATGTAACATTGACACACAAAAAGGAGATTTTAGGGTTTTGTTTTGTTTTTCTGTGAATTGTCCATTTAAATGGCAGTGCTCACCTCCCTGCATGAAATTTTCCCACAATAACATTTTCCCATCACTGTTTTGGATGAACACCATCAGTGCATCCTGTTCCTAGCCCCACCCAAGACAACTGTAATTGGTTTAAAGAAATACAGACACACCAATGCTTTTATCTTCCCTATAGTAGAATGATAATGAGGTGCAGCCAGACCATTCTAAAAAATAAATAAATAAATAAAGTATTTTTCTATTCTATTCTATTCTACTCTGGGCCGTGTAGAATGGTCTGACAGATTTGACTGGAAAAGGCAGAATTGTTTCGGGATCCTGTGTACTCAATCTAGCATATATCATACATGAAGATGAGCAAAATCAGTATGTGTACAGCTGTTGAGGATATCATTTCTGCATCGACTGTTGCTTTTGGAAACATGAAAGTAGGTCTCTGCATTGTCTGTCTTCTTCATATGGGGCAGATTTTAACATTTACATTTGTTCTCTTATCTGTGCGACCCAAAATGTAGTTAAATGTTAAATCCCTCTACCCTTTAAAAATTGACTGGACAAACAGTATATAGAGCAGCCTTTGTCATGGATAAAAATAAAATAGTTTTTTTTGTGCACCTTCTCTCAGGTATGCATGCTATACGTCACATGCGAGCACACACGCATTTCTGTGTGCGTCTGTGGGCCACTCGTCCAATGTATTCCAGCATGCGGGTGGATGTGTCTACTCTGCATGCTTACGTATACAAGCTCATTTTTCAGTGGGGGTGTTCATTTTGGGTCATCTGCATCACACTTCACCCCAGGGACCTGCAAGCATAAGGCACACTAAAGTTTTTCCTCAGTTCCTGAAAAAACTTTGGAGCTCTAAGTCAATACAGTAACCTTTGAAACAGGGCTTCCCCTTAGCTAAGATCAACACACCCACCCTAGTGTAAGTTATTGCTGGGGACACACTGTCTGCTGCCGCTGTGGTATTATTGGATGTGGACGTTGTTCTATAGGGTATGTGTAAGGCTCAGCTATATGGGCCAATGACGCATCTCGTGTGGAAATGTAACAAAAACAAATACGACTGCAGAGATTACACTAACACATGAAGGGTGTTATTGATATTACTAGATGTAAGACCTCTATGCTATACGTCAATGTCAGGATTGAGCTCATTATAAAGGTGATACGCTGGTGTTCTGTGTCATGCATGCACACGTGCACATACAGAATTCATACACTAGGGGACTTTAAATGCTATGCCATATATTGATATCTCATGCTCTCAGTTCAATCACTGTGTAGATGCTTGTCAAATGGAAAGTATTTGTTTTGCAAAGCAACTGCAACTACATCTGCAACAGATGATCGAATTACCATTTTAATCGTTTCAATCATGATTAACATGCAAAATATTTCCTGTTCCAAGCATCTCATATAATTAATAATTAAATGTGTTCTAATTTTGCACTGTTGATAGCACAAAAAAAGAGCCTGGTTAGGCATGTTACTTTGGGCACGTTTTTTTATTAAAAACAAACAATTAATCAATAAATTGTGAAAATATACAGCAAATTAGAGAAAAAGTTAAATGGTAATGTCTCCATTTAGGATGTTAATCAACCAAACTGCATCAATTACATCATTTTGCTGTTGTATTTTAGAAACTATCATTTCACAAAAGTTAGGTTTAATTATTAGACTTTGTCTCTACACCATGATAGAAGCATCTGCTGATATTAAGACCACAATGTTTTACTGAGCTGGCACATATTTGTCTTGCCAAGGCCAGATTTAACATGGTAGCCCCTGCAAATTCTTCCATTTCAGGCTTAGCTCTTTCTGAGGTCTCTGTGCACTGTGTCTTGTCATTTCCCAGGTTTGAAATGTCATACCTAGAGGGACTGAGTTTCACTTCTTTGTGAGTCACCAATGGATTGCATATAAAATGTCATGTGCAACCAGAGTCTTTGCAGTAGTGACGATGTGGTTGTAATGACTACTGCACAGACTCTGGATGTGGATGGTATAACCAGCGCAAGATGGCGGTGCCAATTTCTGAGATTATTTAGGCTCACGTTTGGGGAGTTGTCATACTGTCATCCATCTTTACATACAGTCTACAGCTCATTTTCCATTGAAAATGTTTTGACCAATAATCTGCCGATGTAGAAACTCTTTCAGCCTTATTTTTTGAGGGAGAAAAGATTACCTATTCCAGGTTAGGTACATGTCCCTGAAAAACTGCTGGACTGAACACAAAACAGATCGGTTAAGCTAAGAAAGAAAGAAATGTCTTCAGCTCTCTAACGTCTGCACCAACAATGCAACTTTTTTTTCCTGTAGGCTTATGCAGGAGCAGGGCACTGAACATTGTCAGGGAATCCTCACACCCTCTCCATAAACTGTTTGAACTGCTACCATCAGGCAAACGTTTCCGGAGCATTAAAGGAAGAACCTTACAAAATGATCAACAGCTTCATTCCACAAGCTGTCAGAATGCTGAACTGCTGATCTAGATATGCAAACACTTCTTGATTTAAATTGCTTGAAATTACTGGATTCTGAAGAAACGCTCTTTCATCTTGCCTGTACTACTGTGTATGTACAGCAAAATGACAATAAACTTGATTT